CCCCGTTTTTTTTTTACTTTTTTTGAACTGAGGTCAAATCCCGGCCGTTTGTCAAAATATACCGATGTTTTTTAGTGAATAATTGTGAAGCCTGTCACAGCACAAACAAACTATGTGAATCGACGCAGGAGATTGGATGGTACGACGACCCTTAAATTGGCGTCAAATATGCTTTGTTACAACATCATTGATTGGCTGAGAGTCACATTGATCGGAGCACACAACCTGGGTCACAGAACCATATTTGTCCGTATTATCAACGAGACTTTGCGAGAGAACCACACCCACACTTTCAACCATTTTTAGCGCGGAAGTTGCCAACAAATATCAAAAAACTCGTGAATTTTATGGATTTGAATAAAATAAAGCTAGCGATTAGTAAGACTCGTTAATAATATACCCCCGATGCTCTTCAATTTTTTTAAAATTTTATTTCAAGGTGAGAAATGGATAATTGAAGTTCCATCGATTTCAAGGCGACTGTTTCACCGCGACAACTCTATGCCGTGTTGTAGTTTCGCGAGCTAAAACAAAAATATAGATATAATAAATAGTACTTGTTTAATTATTTGGTTTTACAGCCCGCAAATTACGGGACATGATCCCCATGAATTACGATAAATAAATGCTGATTGTGTTGAATGACGGACGTCGGGACCGTTTGGAGAAACCAACGGGGATATTCCAAACTGTCGGTAGACAGTTCAAACAAATGAAATTATTAACGAAAGACGAGATTTTTTACAGATATTTACGAACATACTGTCATACTAAATATATGCAAAATTGACAAATACACAAAGAGATATTAGGTTTTATTTTAGCCTTGGAAATATTTTCTGTCACTCAGTCCATGCGTGGGACTTCTATTTAGCTTCATGGTCCTTCGGCTTGTCTTCTCCTTGGGGGAAATAACAATAATTATACAAATCGTAAACTCAACACAGTCACGAAAAGAAACCCAGACAACCATGTCATACTTCTGTTGAAATACATTTTGTAGCAGTGCGTCACGTCATAATAAGTTGTTTAAAATAAAATAGTCAATCCCAGCCAAATCTAGGTCAAAGGGTCAGATTGCGTGCATATAATAATTGATAGTTAAAACAAAAAGTATTTGAACTTTTGACGGTTGTTCAACATCTATGCACGGTTACTAAACTAGTAACCGTG